ACTCAAGGGAGTTGGGGGGGGCCTTCCTGGGGGAGCGTGGATATGCAGGTGGAAGAAGAGGGTGGGCGGGGTCTGGGCAGGCTGACCTTCCCCATCACTCACCTGGCTGGTGTGCCAGGGGGCAGGGCTGCTGAAAACCAGACCTGAGAAGTCAGTAGCTGCTAAATTTGAGCATCTGCAATGTGAAGGCACACGTCACCTCTTTTATTATTATTATTTATTTTATTATTTATTTTTAACTATATTTTTATTGATTTCAGAGAGAAAGGGAGAGGGAAAGAGCAATAGAAACATGAATGATGAGAGAGAATCACTGATCGGCTGCCTCCTGCACATCCTATACTGGGGATCGAGCCCGCAACCCTGGGCATGTGACTGGAATCGAACCTGAGACCCTTCAGTCTGCAAGCCAACACTCTATCCATTGAGCAAAACCAGCTAGGGCCTGTCATCTCTTGTTTAAACATCACAGCTGTCTTTTGAGGGACCCCAGTTATTAGTTTGATGTCATGTGTGGGTAAATGAGGCACAAAGAGGTTTAGTAACTGATCTAAAGTCACAGAGGAAGTGCAGGGGCCAGCTGGAGCCCAGGTGTGTCTGATCCCAAAACCTGTGATTGTGCCCACGCCCGCCCTCCTCCTTCCCCCAGGCCAGGTGGGAGCTTTGGCACCACCCAGTGAGTGAAAAGGGAACTGAACCACTCACTCTTGAAATGATTTCCTCCTCCTCTCTGCTTCTGACAGCTCTATTGATAGTTGAACTCACAGGAGGTCAAGTGTGTATGTGAAGTGGCCCCTGTGGATTCTGCTCCGTGTCGCAGTCCCACCCACCCCTTGCTGCCCTCGCTCACCATCACCAGTCGGAGGAACCATGGTTTGTGAACTTTCTGTTTTGTCTTTGAACCAGCCAAGACGCCCTCAGCATCCAGGGGTGAAGAAGCAGACGCCACCAGCAGCCTTCCACCTACCACGGATGAGTCCTCTCAAGCCTTAGCTGGGTCCGACTCCCTGGACAGTCCTCCCAGAACCCTGGAGAGATCCGTGGGCCAGCTCCCCAGTCCCCCGCTGCTACCCATCCCACTGCCCAAGGCCGGCTCCAAAGCCACAAAAAATGCCACAGGTGGGTCCTAACGCATTGTCCGTCCACCCACCCATCTCTCTTCCTTCCATCCATCCATCCGGATGGGGCTCCTTCTGGAGACTGCTTGTGCATTTGGGCTCTGGGCAGGTCCAGGGAGCAGAGCTGGGGCAGGAGGGCTGTTCTTACTTAGCAAGGACCTCTGGTTGTCAGAAGCAGACCACTCAGGACCCCTCTAGCAAGCAGGGCAGTCCCTTTGCAGTGGGCTGAGGTCTTCTGAGTGCAGGAGACACAGCTAGCCCCCAGACGAGGTCTTTCTGTCTGTCTGGGTGTCCAAGTGTCTGTCCTGTGTTTCTCTCTCTTCCTCTCTCTCCCCTTTCCCTCCTCCTCTTTCCGCTCCCCTCCTCCTCTCTCCCCTTCCCTTCCTTCT